AGGAGCGGGATCCTGGCAGGCGCTGCTTTGCAGTTCTGGCAGGTGGATGGGAGCCGCTCCTAACGGGGCGAGAAGAGGTAGCAAGCCGGGTAAAGCTGCACTCTCTTAAGAGCTCTCCCTTCTTTTCTGGAAGAAAGCAAAGGGATTTCCCCAGCACCAGCCTATACCCGTCAGCTCGGAAGTTAAGTTTCTCTGGGCGGCATGACTGATCCAGACTCGGCTCTAGTTAAGCCTTAGACCCACTGAAATCAATTCAACTCAGATATGTCTAACTTGTCCGATAGAAACCATTGGGGCTTAAGTCTGGCTCCAGTCCAGCTCAAGGGGTCAACGGCAAATGTCCATGAGATTTTAACTTCCCTGGGAAACATAAAATGGGCTCTATGGCACGGCCAGATAAAAAATAATCTCTATAGCAATCCCCTTCCTATTATTGTTATTTACTACTAGTGACAGCATCATGAGCTCTATTTGCCCTTCAGCAACACAGACCTAGGAGGGCAGGTCCATACATTTTATTCTTCCCAACTTGTGGCTCTTTGGTTTAAAGAACTCTTACTTGGAGGTTTGCAGAGGTGTCTCTTGTGATGCCATCTGCAAAATCCGGAGGCTTTTCCTCTTCAGAGGTGTTCATTAACAACAATAACAATAATCCTCACCATCGACTCCTCTTCCTCCATCCCATTGCCTCCTTACAAAAGAAAAACCAGACCAACTTTCTGTCCTTGCTCTCCCCCCCCGGCCACCAGAGGGTTAATCGCCCATACCTACCAAATCTGCTGTGGTCTTGCCTGGTTCCTTGGATCGTACCATTGGGGAATATTTCTAAATGAAATCCAGTCCTGCAGTAGAGCTGTCTCCGCCTCAGGATCCCTTTCAAATGGTCTAGGTCCGTCACGGCAGGTCCCCTGGGTAGTCCACCTGCTTCGGACTGCCCCAGGTGGTCGCTTAACAAGACCGGGCTATCCGCTGGCAACACGGGCACATTCCCAAAGGGTACCGCATCTTGTACACCGAAATAGTTCCCAACTTCACCTAAGGGAGCCATCAGGAATGAGGGGGAGGGAGGGAGAGGGGGAGGGAAGGAAGGAGGAGGGGGGAGGAGGAGGAGAATCCCTTTTTTGCAGCAAAACTGTAATGTAGGTGACCAGAACCAAGATTTTCTCCCCTTTTCTTCCAGGAAAAAAAAGAAAGAAAGAAAGAAGAAAGGGAAAAAAAACCTGCTTCCACTCCACCGCTTGCAGTTACATTGAGGGGAGGGAAATGTTCTTGCTTTTTAATCCATCAACAGCAACAATATTTTTTTTCAGGAAAGTAATCAGCTGTTTCAACTGGCCTCGGGTTCAAGGTCAAACTGCTGCTTATCTTAAGAAAGGACCACCACCGCGTCCGACTCGCCCTGTGACATATTGATCAACGCCTCCGGTGTTGGGTCTCGAAGTCTTAAAGCGAGCTCATTTAGGTAATAATAATAATATTTTCCCCGGGGCTCTCTTTCAGCAAGCGGTCAGGTCTTCTGCCCATCCGGCCGTAATGAGGATAAGAATCCGTAGTTTCTCCATGGGGCTCCGGAGCAGAATGACCATCGCAACTTCGGCGCCTTAGGCGTGAAAGAGGGAGGTGCACACATCGATTATTGGCAGAGACATGGAAGATGCACGGGCGACGCCAGGATTTTTTATGGATTCGGATCTCAGGAAGGCATGCGCTGTTTTTACTCTATAACAGACTGCATACATCAGCCTGAACCCTGCAAGGAGAGGAAGGGAGAGGAGGAGGAGGAGAAGGGGGAGGAATCTGACATTTCCCAGATCAAATAAATTGCCCCCCTCGGGGAAAAAAAAGAAAGGGGGCTGCTTGTTTTAATAATATAATTTTTGAGCGCAGAAAAAAAAACTTTTGACGTCCAGATCTATTATCCAGAATTCTTGGGAGGTTCAGTAGATGCCCCTCGGTTTAGCCTCGCCGACGATCCACTCCGAGGCACGAGAGAAAAAGCAGCAGCAGCAGCCAGCCAAGCCTCTCGCCCCCCAAGTGCTGCTGCGCTTTCTGCTGGGTTGCCTCTCGGAACAGGTGTAGCTGTCTCTGCAGGGCTCCCCGAGCGATGTGAGATATACTCCAGCTCCCGAGCTACTGCTGCTGCTGCTGCTCCTGCGGTTCTCTCTCTCTCTCTCTCTCGACTGTGGCTCTTGCATCCAAGCACGCAGAGAAAAGTGGCGCAGGAAGAGGCATTGGGCTGGGTTTAAGGTAGTCCAGCTTGCGGGCGGCGAGCGTTTCCCCCCAGGTCCTAGCGCTCAACGGCACTTGCTGCAACAGAACGCGGCAGCGGCGCCCTCTCTGCCCGAGCCTCAGCCGGCGCGATGCCGTGCAAACGCCTCGTGCAAGCCAGGAGGTCGCTCGCTCGCTCGCTCGCTTTTTTTAAAACATATTTTACTGCTCTGCGGCACTCCCGGCTCGGCGGCTGGCGGCGAGAGGAATAAATGCACATGGACCAGAAACTTTGAAGTTGCAATTAAAAGCTCCGACCTCCTTCCTGGGTAACGGCCAGCAGAGAAGCAAGAGGCCTCGCTGGAACCCCAAGAAGGGATGGGGGTGTCAGGATCCCAGCGAAGAGGGAGATTAGGAGAACGAGTGTGTCCAGGTGGATTGGAACTAGTGGCCTTGGTCATGGGGACGAGGGCGCAAGGAAAGCCTTCGGTCGGATTCTTTGCCCGTTTCTTGGCCGGGAGAACCCACGTTGCTTGCTTCCAAATTACGTTAGCAAATAACTGTGCCCAGCAAAACCTGCAGTTTATTAGCAGCCCGAGCACTACGCATGTCTACTCAGAAGTAAGCCCTATTGCAGAAAGTCTCTCTGCCCATTAAGTTTAAATAAATGTGACCTCCCCGCACGACACACACATGTCCCTTGCGGGGATTGAGAGTGAAGTGTGCGCGGGATCGGGACTTTCAGACACCAATACACCCGACAGGAATTGGCGCCCAGGCTATTACGTGAACCGAATCCCCCTCCTTCCCCACCTGCTGGATCATAAAAGGGGATATTTAGTAGTGGGTGGATCAGGCTACTTGTTGGGCATCGGATTTCTCCGTGAGGACCGCTGAGAATCTTGAGATTGCTCGGCACCCTTTTCCGGGAGTACGTTCGATCTGGTTCAGTGGATCTTTACTTTTGAGTAAACACGCGCTCGGTTGCTGTCCTAAGCTGGCGCTCGATTCCGCACAGAGGGTGGGGTGTCCGGTGTAGTCAACGGGATTCTCCTTCTATTGCCTCCAGGGCCTTAGCGGCCATTTGCTTTACGGGGCGGCCCCGAATTCACCCCCGGCGCCCTGCCCCTCTTTCTGCAGCGACCCAAGGCTGCTGGAGAGAGCAAGGCTTTCCCCGGGCGGATCGAGCCGGCGAAGTTGGCGCGGCCGAAATGCGCCCGCACGTGGGGAGCCGGAGCTTCTCGGTGTGTCACCACGTGCTCCGCTCAGCCGGCGCGGGCATTTATTTTTATTTTATTTTTATTTTTTTGTTCGCGCACGTCTGCTTGGCCAGACACCAGCGGGCAATTGCTCTGGTTGCCCAACGCCGGCCACCTTGAGAGCGGGTGGGATATGGGCTCACCTCAGGGTCAGACGATTCCTCAGCCAGACCCTCCTGCCTGCCTCCTTAGCGAAGGTCAGGGCTGTAACTAGGATGGGACCGCTGGGGCTGGGCACCAACACCAGCAAAAACATCCCTGCCCCTCTTCAGTAAGACATCTTTGTGAGGGGAACGCCTCACTCTCTTTTCCCTTTTGGTGGTGGGCTTCTGTCCCTCTTATAGTGCACCTTCACACACAGAGAAGGAAGAAGCAGCAGGTAGACATGTTCTTGATTTGTTGTGTGTGTGTGTGTGTGTGTGTGTGTGTGTTTAATGGGCTCCTCAGCTGAATTGTGGAGTGAATTAATGAGTGGTGGAGTGAGTCCAAGACTGCCTGAATGCCTCCTAGACTCTCCCAGAATGAATGTCTGAATGCTTGGCTCACTCTGTGTGTGACTACAACCTTCACTCCTGGTTCTGCTCACCTATGGCTGCTATATGTTCCAGGGCCATTCGTCATTGTTCCAGGGCCATTTAGTCATGTCCGACTCTTTGTGACCCCATGGACCTCAGCACGCCAGGCCCTCCTATCTTCCACTGCCTCCCAGAGTTGGGTCAAATTCATGTTGGTAGCTTCGATGACACTGTCCAACCATCTCGTCCTCTGTCGCCCCCTTCTCCTCTTGCTGTCACAGTTTCCCAACATCAGGGTGTTTTCCAGGGAGATTTCTCTTCTCATGAGATGGCCAAAGTATTGGAGCCTCAGCTTCAGGATCTGTCCTTCCAGTGAGCACTCAGGGTTGATTTCCTTTAGAATGGATAGGTTTGTTCTCTTTTCAGTCCAGGGGACTCTCAAGAGCCTCCTCCAGCACCACAATTCAAAAGCATCAACTAACTGCCACTGCCCAATCATGGCATGAGTTGCATATTATCAGCCCCTGCCAGCCAATATCCGAACGTTGGCAGATTTGACAGGTGTAACTGCTGCCATCACAAACTGGGAGGGAGACCCTTATTTATTTATTTTATTTTATTTATATCCCACCTATCTGGTCTTACGACCATTCTAGTGGTCCACCTTAGTCAATGGATCTGCTCATTTCAGCTCACTTCAGCCGTTCAATTGCAGTGATCCAAACCAGAGTGAGGTTTATTACAGCTCAGCCTTCAGTTAAAATCTTGTGTGTGCCAAGGTTCAACGGGCTTTCTTGGAAATAGGGGTGGCTTATGGCCTTCAGTGAAGGGGGCACCTCACCCCAAGTTTGGAGAGGGGGAGGCTTTCCTCACTTGGAAGCAAAACCCTCACTCGGGTAAACTTAGAAATAAGCTGAATCCTTGATCAACCATGCTTAAAGTAATAACAAAGATAGTGTGCTGAAACACTTGCAGAGTACTTATGATTAGATGGGAAAGCTTAGCAGTCTGAGGTTTTGTGTGTTTCATGCTGAAAACTGTAAAGCTATACATGTCATCTTGGCAACAGTGGGGTCCCTGTGACCTCACTGTATAATTGTGGCTTTCAGGTTTAAGACCTTTAATGAACCTTTATTGTTCCTGAAAGCAGGCCAGATTATGATGTTCTGAAGTCCCATAGCATTGTGTTGCTGCTGTTGTTAAAAAAAAAAACCATTTTGGCCAGAATCCTGTTGCATTATGAGATTGCATAAGAGCATTATGGAAGGAGCAGGAGGCATTGTGCTGGCTAGCGTTTGCACTCCTGGCAATTTCCTGGCTGTGCAATAAGTGGCACAGAGGGGTGTGCAACAGACAGCTGGCCAGCTGCAAGAATCATTCTTACTATTGGCATTTTGTAATAAGATTTTGGCAGAGCTTTTTTCCTTGTCTTTTGATATGCTTTTATTTCATTTTGTTGAATCCTTCATAATCAGAAATTCTGAAATGTAGCTTCCCTGGCTTGTGCACACATCTGGCACTTCTGGAAAGATTCAGTAAGTCTGAATCTTTCCAGATACTGCAGTTCAGCTAAGCTGTGAGTCAAAAAGAATAGGAGTAGCCTAACTATCAGGCAGAGTGGGATATTTGCATCTGGGAGGAGACATTGGGAGGCAGTAACAAGGTGTTAGAGCAGGGGTCTTCAAACTATGGCCTTTTTATCCAGCCCAGGCATAGGAAGGGGACTGAAGGGGGACCCAAGCAATCCCCCACCCTTTCCTCCTCTTCCTATTCCCGGGCAGAGGTAGGAAGGGGAGGGGGAGCAAACTCTGTCAGAAGCAATTCCCCCCCCCCAGGATCGCTTGGGTCCCACTACCCTCCATTGGCCCTCGAAAATGTGTAAAATATATGACCCTCATACTGAAAAGTTTGGAGACCCCTGTGTTAGGGGAAAGACCCAGGTTCCATGTGGTCTGTCCTGCACTGCCTAATTTAGCCTTTAGGTGTAGTAGAGGATGGTATTGTGACCAAGCTATGAATTTTAAAAAGATTCCACTGCTTCTCCCTTTGGCTTTTGCACACGTAGTGCTGATTCAAAGAGGAAAAACGCTTACAAAAATGCAGAGTCTTAATCGCACTTACTCAGAAGCAAGCCCACTGAGTTCAGTGGGGCTTATTTCCAGCAAAAACAGTGTAAGACTGCAGTATGAACCATCTGCAGCAGCTGGTTCAGATTCTTCCCAGTAGGGGATTCTTGTTCTTCCACTCAATTGCTTTATGCAGTTGTTTCAGAATAGAAAAAAACATAGTTCCAGGTCTGGATATGGTCCATTTCATTTTCACAGAAAACCAGGAAGTCAGAGGACATTCTGTCTTCTCATTTTTAATCCTTGCCTTGGTCTGTCTCTGTTTTGCTGTACCTAGGAAAATAAGAGGCTCTTTCAAATGAAATCTCCATAACCGGAAACTTGTAAGAAGTGGCTTGATTGTCATCTGTCAAGATGTTTAGCTCTACTTTCTTTCCTTAAGGCAGTGGGTTGGGTTAATGTTCCCTCTGGTCGTTTCTTATGCTTGCATTCACCTGAACAAAGGCTGAGGCATTAGGTAATTCTGTAAGAGTTACTCAAGCAAACTTGCCTCTCTTCTGCATTGCTCACACACTCTTTATGTAAAACTGGGGCACTGTTCCCCAGTTTATACTCCCCCCCCCACCCAAAAGGTCATGTTCTGGAAGTCTTGTGCTGATTTATTTATTTTGATTTTCTGTAAAATTAATGACGTGGTTTCAGCCAGTTGAAGAACTCCAAACCATCAAACACAGATGAGAAATCTGGGGCCATTCAGACATTGTTGGA